TAGATTCACCTATTTTTAAAGAACACACGCCTAAAATTTTAAGTGATTTGGATTCGTAGAAAAAAAAAAATTCAAACACTACTGGACACTATCGGAGTTCCGTGATCGTCAGATCAGCCCAGATTCAATCTGGGCCATTGGTGCATTTAGCTTATCTACATGAGGTTGCTGACCATATCTTTTTCCATATAGAAATATATATGGGTTTGTCTAGAGTTAACAACGCCACAATATAAAGGTTAAAGTTAGAAGGGGTTATGATGGTGTATTTATCAAAAAGATCTTGACTTTTTGTTTTAAAAATTATGTTAATATATAACTTAACCACTAAGCAACGACAAATTTGAAAGTTTTACAAAAGTACAATAGTATTTTGGTTGTTAGTATCCTGGAACTTTATTTGTAAAGTGCTCTTGTTCTTTATAAAAATTTCAATTTTACCCCTTATGGAAATGACAAAAGTACCATTTGTCTTATAGTGATATTTACAAAAAATACACTTAATGAGCAAGATATCACAAAAAGTAACTTTTTTTAATAAATAGACCACAAAGTTAGTAGATCCACCCTTCACAACTAATTATATCATTAACCTTTGTAATTTGAAGAGTTGTGAACTTTAGATTATCCATATATATATATATATATATATATATAAACTACACAACGCCTATAGGCGAAAATGAACAGTGATTTCGCCTATGCTTATCACTGTCCGAAGTTCATCGCATGGTCACAGTTGTCTGATAGTGTTTCAATTTTTATTTTTTTTTCTATAAATCAAAATGATCTGAAATTTGGAGCGTGTACTCATCAAAAAATAGGAGAATCTAATGAAAATATAAAAAATAATAATTCGTAATATATAAATTGACCAAGATACCCCTGAAAAATTTATGGGGGTAGCTTGGTCAATTAATATTTTAATGAAATTTATATTTTTATTAGGTGTGCCTCACCAAGATGTAGATACGCTCCAAATTTCAGATCATTCTGATTTATAAAAAAAAAATGAAAATTGAAATACTACCGGACAATTGTGACCAGACGATGAAATTTGGATGGTGATGAGGGTAGGTGAAATCACTCTTCATTTTCACCTATAGGCATTGGAAAGACTTTTCCATATATATGGGTGCGGTTTGTATAGGGCTTAAATTAGAGCCTACCTTAAAATAGTGTCAAGAAATGTGGTTTCAATATTGAAAATCTTAGTGACAGCCTTAAAATATATTTTCATCTTTATTTATAAAGTTTAAAGCTTCAAACATAGTGTAGATCTATGAAATCCTGACAATTTACAGTCAAAAATGCGTTACAAAAGTACACTATTTTCAAAACTTGAAATTCATACATCTTGATGTCGAGATGATCAATTTGAGGATATTTGGCCATAAAAACACCACTTTTAGTGAAATTTTTTAGGTATGCTCGAATTTGATTGTTTAGAGCCTCGGATATATATATATATATATATATATATATATATATATATAGTAGTAGTACGTACTACACGACGTCGTACGTAGACGTAGTAATACTAACGTAGTCGTCTTCCGTCCTACCCTACCCTACGTACCGTCCGTACCGTACCTAA